AGCAAAGAGCATGGGCCCCTGATTATATAGCGGCAATGGTGTTGAAGACTTGAGCTCCAGAACTAGTTGTGCCTCTACCCAAGCTGTCCCGGGATAACTGAAATACTGGCATCTACTGAGCAATGTGGAAGATTGCTCAGGTATATCCTGTACTCGGAAAGCAGAACAAATCCAACTGGGCTGGTGGCACCCATTCACCTACTCAGTCATCAACTAAGTGATGGAATTTGTCATCAACAGAGCTATCAAATGCACTTGTTCAGTAACAATCTGCTCACTGGTGCCTAATTTGTGGTCTGTCAGGGTCACTCAGTGATTGTTAGAATTCAATAATTTCAGCCCCAGCATGTTACTACAGGAATTCTTCAAAGTAGTGTCTTGGGCTCAACCATGTTCAGTTGCTTCATCAATAACACTCCCTCCATCATAGGGTCAGAAGTGGGAATGTTCACCAATGATTGTGCAATGTTCAGTACCACTCATGACTCCTCAGATACTGAAGCTGTCCATGTCCAAATGCAGCAAGACCTGGGCAGCATTCAGGCTTAGGCTGACAAGTGGTAAGTAACATTCGTGCCATGCAAATGTTGGATAATGACCATTGCCCAGAAGAGAGAATCTAACCATTTCCCCTTGGCATTACCATCACTGAATTCTCCATCACCATCCTGACGGTTATTGGTGATGAGAAAGAAAACTGGACTAGGCATATAAATACTGCGGGTGGGCTCATGTAGTGCAGGGGTGGTATCACCATCTCTAAGCTGGGAGATCTGGGTTCAAAGTGGAATAACCTTTCTGAACAGCTTGATTGGAAAATATCTATAAATACTATAGCTACAAGAACAGGTTACAGGTTGTGAATGCTGCGGCGATCAACTCATCAGCTGTATTCAGAAAGCCTGTCCACCATCTACAAGGCACAGGTCGGGTGTGTGATGAAACACTCCCCACTTGACTGGATAAGTCCAGTTCCAACAACACTGTAGAAGGTAACTCCACTTTGGTCAAAACTGACACGCGTCCACCAACTTCAAACACTCAGTCCCTTCACTGACACAGTCGCAGCAGTATGTACCAGCTTCACTGCAGCTACTTGCTGACACTCCTTCCAAACCTGCAACCTTTCTGACCTAGAAGGATAAGGTCAGTAGATGCACACAATCTACAAGTTCCCCTCCAAGTTGCACACCAGCCTAGCTTGGATCTATATCGTCATTTCTTTAATGTCACTGAGTCTGAGTGTTGGAACTCATTACTGTAAGTGTCACCAAACCCTAAGGACTGAACCTGTTAATGAAGGCAGCTCACAACTATCTTCTCTCGGGTAATTTAGAAATGGCAATAAATGCTGGCCTAGCCAGCAATGTCCACATTCCCACAAACAAATAAAGAAAAAAAAAAAATGGATTTTAGACCTGTGGAGTCTTATTTGTTCAAATTTTAGTTACTGTAGGAATATGTAAACAAAAAGAAGTTGCTTTATTTCTAAACCTTTCCAAAAGGCACTCCCACAGAAGCACTTTCCCCAACATGTACGTAATCATCCACAACTTATCAAGGACAGCAAGAGTTCTGGTATACTTGTACAATAATGGTTGAACTGATATTGTTATCATGTCACCAGCACATTTTGATAAATGTGTATTGATATCTCACATCATTTTCACTTTCTGCAGAAGTGATGCTGCAAAGTTTCTCAGTTTTTGGAACAAATACTGAAAGACATACCATTTCCTCTGAAGGGATGACACAAAGATAGATGAAGGAACAAGTAGTGCTGCGGAGATGGGGAGGCTGCCGAAGGACCTGGACAGGCTTGGAGAGTGGGCTAAAAAGTGGCAGATGGAATATAATGTGGGAAAGTGTGGGAAATATAATGTGAAGTAATGCACTTTAGTAGGAAGATAGAGGCATAGACTATTTTCCAAAAGGGAGAATGCTTTGAAAATCTGAGCCACAGAGTGACTTGGGAGTCCTCGGCTGTGGAGGGCAAACACAAATCGAGTGCTGTCTTTAGATTCCCAGCTGCACAAAATATCAGCGGGAGTAACTGGACAGTAATCTTATATGCTCAGGCCAAAGAACTCTGACATCAAATGTGGCGTTCCTGTTGTCTCACAGCTGAAGTTGAATAATGCAGCTCAACACAAAGGCTTGCATTTGCTAAAGCTTGTGTAACATTGACACATACTTGACATTGTAACAATTTTGCTTCATACAGTTGTAGAAATGGGTTTCTGTGGAACGGAAGTAAGAAGATGAATGCTTGAGTATCTGAAAACTGGATTCCTCTTTCAGATGTTCCAATACTTATTTCAGAAGGTGTCGACAATTTCTGTTCCCTATGGGTTTGCCAGTGCCTTCTCTATTACCGGTATTTTTCTAAAACTGCTTTTCATAATGGAAAATATCATCTGTAATATAAAACTAGTGTTTTGGAATGTTTCAGCATTTTCAGCTTCTGCATAAATGCTGTTTCTATGGAAATTGAACTGTCATACAAAACCACAAGGTAATTATGATTGAGGAAGGTCATTTGGCCATCTCCATTCACCAAACGAGAAGGATGAAATTGTTTTACAGCTACATTTGTTTCTTAAATGATCCAAATGTCCTTTCCATTACAATTCTGAAAAATGTCCCTTTTAACGCATAGAACCATCTGCTGATTCAGGTCCCAAAAATAACTTGAAATAGTTGTAACCCGTCTGCCAATTTAATAGAAAAAAACCCATGGGATAAATATATTTTTCTGATTCCTATTTACTTGAAATTTAGATGGCATTATATGTAGAAAGTTGCTTTTTCTTGTGTTGTCGCTGCTGTATGCGCTTGCTTGCTGTGTGTCTCTATTTCTCTTCCTGGCCCTCGCATCACAAGCTCTCTGCACATGAATGATTTGCATGTTAACCTGCTAAGTGCCCCAGAAATGATGTCACTCCAACACGTGACAGCAGGTTTCTTGCTCTGATGTGTTATCTATTGTCTGTGTATGTGAAATGGCATGTTCTGGATAGATGCATTGACTGAGCCAGTTTTCTTTTTGTGCTAGGTCTTAATTGCCATTCTCAGAAGCTGTACAATATGAATTTGGCTTAAGTTGATCTGAATTTAGCTTACTAGCTGCTATTTTAATATTAATTGCTCAATCAGTTCCTTTTGACCTAATAACTTTAAAATTGTGAGATAACAAGGTGCAGAGCTGGATGAACGCAGCAGGCCAAGCAGCATCAGAGGAGCAGGAAAGCTGACATTTCAGGCCTAGACCCTTCTTCAGAAAAAATTGTGCTCCCTTTAATGCTTCCATTTTAGCTCAATTTTATTCAGTACCCCCTCGTATTCAGACTTTTGAAACTGGGGATGAGTTATCTGGGTTATCTGCACCAACTCCAGAATGAAAATGCCTCCTGTTTTCAAGTGGACACTGTATTCAATCGTAATAAAATTAAGACAAATGTTAATATTGTTAAAAGGCCTTTCAGTTACTTATTGAAAACCTAAAGTACTTTTGCTAGTTTTCTAAATTGAGATGTCTGCATTCTCCAAACTGTTGAATTCTCTTTCAACTGAAAGAGAGATATTTGGTTTTATTTACAAAAAAGATGAATTGCATTTTACGCTCAAAAGCTCTTCTCAGCCAGATACTACTGAGAGAGGGAGAACATACCTATGTATGTGTGTGTATAGGGGGTGCATGCGTGTGTGTGTGTGTGTGAGATTCCTGCTCCTTAATTGTGGTACTGATAATATTACATGCTGCTGCTATAACTTGTCTTGTGCAGCTTTACTGTTGTATTTAACTCCATTAGAATTTTGTTAGAAATATTCATAAAATCTTATCGACATTATGATTGGACATTATTTATCTCATGGTGCAAGCTGTTTACTCCATCCAGGTCATAAACTAAGCTATGAACTTTTAACGCAAAGAATTGATGGATACCAATATTGCAGCACAACTTGTGTGTGAATTGGCAGCCTATTTTTGATGTCAAATTCTCACATCTGTTTAAGTTAGTGGAACAAAAATTTGACCATCGTGCAAGAGGAAGTTGCCGATCTTTTGTCGGTCTGTTTCACGCATTGTCCATAGTGGACTTATTTTTGTTGTTTTGTTTGATCTTTGCCATAAGTGAAGTACCACTAGTATTAAAATAATAATAATGTGAAAGAGTAGACTTAAATGTGTTTGAATTCTATATTATGGCACCAGCATACAATTTCCAACAGCATAAATCTCTTGAATGGAGATTCCCAAACTTTGTGTGTTGCATACCTAGATTAACCAACTCCCCATTTCTCACAACTCGCAGACAGTTTTAATAGTTTGTGTAGTGCTTGGACATTGAACAACAACTCATTAAAAGGAGCCATTAATGTTACAGGTATATGTGTGTTCAAACATTTGACGTACCTTCGAGTAGATACCATACTAGAGTAAAAGTTGATCTCATGTAAAAGTCGATCCCCTGTTTTTGGCCAAAAAAGTCTTGAATTTTCCAAATATCTTGTGTAAAAGTTTACCCTAGTTCTTCACAGATAAGAGATCAACATTTTCTGAGTTGTCCTGTACATTCCAGTAAATGTTACGATGAGGAAATGATCGGTGAGACTGTATGAGAGTCAAACTAAAACAACAGTAGACAAGGGAAAATGGAGGGAACCAGAAGAATTTGGCGTGGAAGGTTAGCACCCATCAAGTCAGAGTCAGGTACTTGAGGAATACAGTCATATACCTAGCTGAGGTTTTGAAATTTCTTCATCATTTTGTGTAGAAATGCCCTCTGGAAAGAAATAAAATATATACAGCAGCATATAAAATGAAAGTTATTGAAGTAGCAGAGAAGACAAAACTCTGTAGCAGCAAGAGAATTTTATGTTTCAGAGAAACTTGAGAGACTGGAGAAAAATATCGAACCAACTTCAGACAATGCCAAAACGAAAGTGTGCCAACAGAGGTTAACCTAGCAAGTGGCCACAATTGGAGGAATAAAAGGTTGTTGAATGGGTACTTGAAAATTGTCAAAATGGAAGCAATGTTAGTCTTGAAGCCATCCGAATTCATGCACAAAACGAATCAAAGAAGGATGGAATTTCAGATTTTAAGGCAAGCGCTGGATGGTGCACAAGGTTCATGAGAAGGAATGATTTAGTACTTCAGCAGACAACTAAGATTACACAAAAGATGCCTGCTGAACGCGAAGAAAACATATTACAGTTTCACCAGTTTGTAATCAGAAATCAGCAGAAGGAAGGCTGCGAGTTATCACACATTAGAACATGGATGAAACGCCTAGCACTCTTGACATGCAGGAGAATCAAACTGAACTAAAAAGGAGAAAAACAACTGGACATGGGGAAAAGTAAATTTACTTTAGTTCTTGTATGGCTGATGGCACTAAGTTAAAACCAATGGTTGTTTTCAAGGGAAAGACTTAGCCAGAGGAGAACTTTCCAAAAGGAATTGTCATCCATATGCATCCACAAGGCTGGATCGATGAAGGTGGATGTAGAAAATGGATAAAGGAAGTTTGGAACTTACGATCTGGTGGACTGCGCAAGGAAGAGTTCGCTCGTCTGGGACTAGTTTAGATCACACCTAGTGAAGAATGTTGTATGTGACATCCGATCACATAACGCTGACATAGCTGTAATTCCCAGCGGACATATAAAGTAGTTTTGCAACCAATGGATGTTAGTATCGATATGCCATTTAAGGACATGATGAGAATGAAGTGGAATAACTGAATGTGAGATGGAGGAAAAAGTCATACACAAGAGAAGCAGTATGCGGGCTCCATCACTGCCATCACTCCATCATTGATTCATGGAAGGAAATAAAAGCTGACACTACTTTCAAATCATTAAAGAAATGTGGAGTTTCAAATGCATTGGACGGCACAGAGGACGATTATCTACCAGTAATTCATTTTTGTTTCTATTGTCTTTATCCGGTAATTACCGGTACCGTAATTCATTGTGTTTTTCTCCCTTATTCGATGAGCGATCAATTCAGCTTCTACTAATGATACGGTACTTTTGGAATGTAGCATGAATTTCAGCCCCTCAAAAGTAATATCCATGTAATAGACGACCCCATAAATTTAACCTTAAGTTTAAAAAAACTCGACTTTTACGAGTACAAACGATATTTGTTGCAAGTTCCTTTCTACACAAAGGCTTTTATGATTTTTTGATTTTATTCCCAGTGAATGAGATAAAAATGTAATTTCGCAAAGATAAGCTGTAGCAAAACCTTGACAGCCCCATCTGACGATTTGGAAAATATTTTTTCCCACTTGGGGCCAAATTTGACCAACTCCCCCTTGAGTGAAAAATGATTTTGAGTTGGCCGTCAGTTGTGATGTCTGGATTGTTTGCTGCTTCTGTTACTAATGTGTTTTGTAGCGTAGGTATTGTGAAAAAATTTAACAAGGTAATGTTTAGGTTTCCCATCAAAAGCAAGTAATCGTGTAATTACTTTGCCAATTTGGTGAGATGTTGCTTGCTCTAACACTACCCTGAAACAGTAGTTCATTTGTTTCCAGGAATTCACAAATATTTGCGAATATTTTAGTGGTGTTTTTCTCCAAAAAGCAAGCGCAAACTGTCTGCTTTTTTTTGTTGGAGTCATTGACTCAATTTTATCCTGGACATTGCGGGTGATTGCCTTTAGTGGTTGAAGTCCCTGATATAATGAGAATACATGTCTGACAAGCAGCCAAGCTTTGAGATCCAGGCCATGTTAGACAATGAAATAGGACAGAAATAAACTGTCTTTGAAGAGTAACTTTTATTTGAACTTAACTGTTTAAAAAACAAATGAGTGAAGACCTTGCTATGTGATAGCCATTGAACCTCCCTGTGGAACAATAGCTCAAACGGCTCAATTCCCATTTTATTCAAGCAGAAAAATATCCTGGAGTTCATGTTTGTTCTTTTACAAAGTCTATTATCTTCCCAATATTATCCAGGACTTCCTTTTAAGTTGGCAGGCGTGCTTTTGGCACAAAGCTCTTCCAATGTATGTTGCCATCACAATCGGAGCAAATGCTCTGATACATGTCACTTGGTCTACTGTTCTTACCAGCAATGGACTTTGTTCCATTGGTACAAAAAAACGATATAATGTAGTCAGAGAGTATGTTGATTTATTATATGATGTTGGGAAATCTGGAGCCAAGAGGTCACTGCTTAAAAGTAAGGAGTTGCCCGTTTAAAACAGTGATGAGACAAAAGATTTTCTGAGGATTGAAAGTCTTTGGAACACCTTTCTTGAAAAAATTGTGGGAGTAGAATCTTTGAATATTTTTAAGATAGCTGGATAGATTCTTGGTTATACAAAGGAGTGCAAGGCTATCTGGGTAGACAGCAGTATGGGTTTGAAGTTACAATCGTATCAGCCATTATCTAACAAATGGAGGAGCAGAATAGTGGAGTTGAATGGTCCACCATTCTTTCTTGTTAGAAAAACATGACAGCAGGAAGTTACTGTCAGCATTTAACATTAAAACTGCCTGACATTGAGAATTGACATTTAAATAAATGTATTGCCTGGATGTTAGCTGCTGCTGTTTTTTTTTGTATTGACTTCTCTGGACATGTTATGACACCTCAATGGCCATCACAAGCTGAGATGAGACTTGGATCTCTATCTTTTGACACCAAGATCGGGGTACTGCATCACGAGCTTTTTTAATGCTATGCATTAACACAACAACTGATAAGGTTAGGAGGGTAACAGTTTATTATAAATTGATGTCAAGATATATACAGAGAGAATTGGGCCTCATGGCATAGTGGTAGTGTCCCAGCCTTTTGAACCATAAGGCTGGGGTTCAAGTCCAACCTGCCCCAAAGTTATGTAATAACTCATCTGAATAAGTTGATTAAAAATATCTATAAAGAGAGAATTGCTGGAACTGGGGGAAGAGAAATGTTGAATGTGTAGTTGATAACCAATCTTAATATATCTCTTAGTTTATAGTTTCTGTTATTTCGAATCAATTAACACTGTGGAGTGAGTTTGAATTCATAGCATTTCATTTTGTGTATGTGTATAAAAACTCATTAGCATCACAGGCAATTATAAGTGACTTCTGAGATCATACCAGATCAGATTGACAGACATGAATTATTCCTTAATCAAAATATGAGTGTAATCCAAACTGTAAGTACTTCCTTCTAACCAAAATTGAAATCAAAATCATAAAGAAAATGTAGAGAAGAGTCCATAGGCATTCCCATCTTTTGGCGGTAGAGCCCAGCATTTAAGTGCAAGAAACGTGGTTGAAATATTTGTAGCCATCCATCAGAAATGCTGAGTGGATGTTCCATCTCTCCCTGGACTTGAGGTCTCCTTCATCACTAAAGCAAATTTGATCTTCTCCATGTGACATAAGAAATGGTTGAATGCTACAGTATCCTCATGCATGAATCAAGGTATACTAATATGCAGGTGCAGCATGTAATTGGGGAAAGTAAAGGAATGTTATCATTTATTACAAGGGAGTTTAATGAAAAAGTCGAGAGGGTATGCGTTAGTGTCGTATCAATGTCTTGTCTAACTGGAATCCTCATTACAACCTTGGTTCAAACATAGGCTAACATGCTAAATTTCAGATAATTTCACTTTTTCACATATGCACTTGATAACAACCCAGTGTGACATCAAAAAAGCCTTGATAAAGTTGAAGTCAAACCAGCTGCAGGGAGGACAATGACAGCTATCGCTGTAATACAACTTCCTTATCGCTGGAATCACAGTTGGCGTAAAGGTGGCTGATGTTGATTTGTTGGAGTATAAATATCATGCTCCAAGACACCACTGCTGGAGTTCCTCAGGGTTGTGTCCTCGGCCCAAACATCTTCGTCTGCTCTATCATTAGGTCGGATGTGGGGATGTTTGCTGGTGGCTGCAGTGTTCAGCTCTATTTACAACTCCTCTCAATTTTGCATCCATGCTGCCACTGCCCATTTATTCCATGGAGTTCAATTTACAAAACACAACAATTAAGTGTACTTTGTTAAATGTCTTTTAAAAGTTCAGTACATAACATTAGCTATACTGTGCTCATCTGTCATCTGTTATCACATCAAACACTCAAATCAAGTTAGTCAAACATGATTTGCCTGGAAATGTTATCAATGTGTCTATTGATTTTTTTTAAAAATCTCAAAGGATATATTAAATTGCCCCAGCAGGTACAAAATAATATTGTGATACAAAACTGCCCAAATCAGAATCTGCCACTTCAATTATTAACATTTAACTCTATATATAGAATATCACCCAAGGAGTGCCATTCAAACTAGACAACAGTCCATTTGCTGAATTTATTGTTGCAGTACTGATGTCAGCTTTGGCTTCAAGCGCTCATCTGCAACATCTCTCAAACTAGGAAGCTCCCGTCAGCTTAAAACGCAGCTGGAAAATATTATGCTGTGAAGTCACTCCACTAAATAGAACCAAGTTTAGACCTAATTTTACATTGTTCTGCCAGTTCATAAGAGTGTTTACAAATGCAGTGGTTATCTTTCCTTGGAGTACTGGTTTGATACAATGTCATTGAGGGAATGTAACCACTTAATATCAGTAGACTCTTTTCAGTGGAGCAGTCTTTAGCTTTTGATGCTAGTTGGAAGTAAGAAAAATGAATATTTTCGTATCTTATTGGACCTTGTGGAAAAGTGATACAGTTCCTACACCTGGATCAGAAGGTCTCTGTCCAAATCCCACCTCAGGATGTGAGGGCTACAGAGGTGTGTTGAAACACTCTCCAGCTGGTTGATTTAAATAAAAACTATATCTTGGCAAATGTTGCTAAACATGCCTGACGTCCTACTTCTGGTACTTTACAAGCTTGTTGCTATCAGTTTAAATATTTTGGTAGATATTCTGGGCACTAACAGCAATGTGTTGTGTGAGTGTATACTAATCAGTAATGCACTGTCAACTTGCATTGATTCTGTTCAATATATTCAGAACTTGGATGGGTGAAGTTAAATCTGTACTGGTAAATACTGGGGCTAGATGCCAACAATGTGGATCTAATGTGACCGCAAAAATCTTATCAGTGTTTGTATATCACCAGTTACTACAGGTCACACTGCACTTTTACTGGAACAGTTAGTGAATTAAGTTCAAGGTATGGTATGAATTAATCATGGGTGAACAGCTTTTCCCTTACAGCTGCACACAAATATTCAAAACATTTTTCAACCACTGCTTATCGTGGTCTACCAGAATGCTCAATTTGGGGCGCTTACTTTAAACGGTGTTGCTGTATGCAATCATTTAAAAGGCTAAGTCCAGAGGACTGCTATGCTGCAGTCACTAATCCCTGCTCCACTATTTCATCCATAGATCTGAGACATTTCTGCAACAGAAGGCAGTCTCTAGTAGCTCTGACAGTATAATAAATGCAGGCATTGCATACTGACAAACCCATCTACAAATGTGAAAACAAAAATTTTAATTTTTAAGTTTTTTTTAATAATATGGTTTGTAATGTATGGCTAATACTTGTCAAGAATTCATGCTGTTCAAGCAGCTATTGCTCTGCTGCAGATTAAGTTTGTAGTTCTTTTGAAGCTTGTGATGACAAGCAATGATCCTTGACTTTCAGATATTTAAAGGCCTATAACATGGTTATTTTAAAAGATACAGGAGGGAGGGGAAACTTTCAACTACCACTTGCCCATATTTTACCTTTTATAATCTGAAATGGTGGGGACTAGGGAGGCTGCAGTACTCGGGTGGTCATTTGAACGAGCGCTTTGTGTTGTTATAGTAGTCGTGAAGAACTAATTGTAATGTGGGTATCCTGGGTACCATATTTATTGCAATCCAGTGCTGAGCAGCAATTTGTCCATCCACCAGTCATGGGGAAAAGCAGGAAGAAATGCATTCTGTGAAGAC